TTTTAAAAAAAATTGATGGTAATTTATGCAAATGTATTCACGATGACCTCGACACGACCTCGTATTCACATCAATTTTATGTATGCAAATGTATTCACAATGTCTCATTGTGACGTCATCCTCATGTAAATTAACATCTTTACGGCCATGGACGCTCATTTATGCTAATTTGTGCACGAATTCCCATTGTGACTTGTGACGTCATTATTTATGCTCATCTATGCACGGGCACCCATTGTGAAGTCATCCATTCCCGTATGACGTTATCGCATCCCAATATGAACAGCGCCCTCATGGTCGTACCTATAATGTAACTTAAACTACTTATTTGGCACTGAAGTAAAAGTACGGTTTACAACATATGTGATACAGCCATATGATGCTTGTCCCATATATTATGACAGTTCTATGTGATACAGCCATATGATGCTTGTCCCATATATTATGACAGTTCTATGTGATACAGCCATATGATACTTTGCCCATATATCATGACAGTTCTATGTGATACAGCCATATGATAATTGTCCCATATATCATGACAGTTCTATGTGATACAGCCATATTATGCTTGTCCCATATATTATGACAGTTCTATGTGATACAGCCATATGATACTTTGCCCATATATCATGACAGTTCTATGTGATACAGCCATATGATAATTGTCCCATATATCATGACAGTTCTATGTGATACAGCCATATGATACTTTGCCCATATATCATGACAGTTCTATGTGATACAGCCATATGATAATTGTCCCATATATCATGACAGTTCTATGTGATACAGCCATATGATACTTTGCCCATATATCATGACAGTTCTATGTGATACAGCCATATGATAATTGTCCCATATATCATGACAGTTCTATGTGATACAGCCATATGATACTTTGCCCATATATCATGAAAGTTCTATGTGATACAGCCATATGATGCTTGTCCCATATATTATGACAGTTCTATGTGATACAGCCATATGATGCTTGTCCCATATATTATGACAGTTCTATGTGATACAGCCATATGATGCTTGTCCCATATATCATGACAGTTCTGTGTGATACAGCCATATGATACTTAGACCATATATTATGACAGTTCTATGTGATACAGCCATATGATACTTGTCCCATATATCATGACAGTTCTATGTGATACAGCCATATGATGCTTGTCCCATATATCATGACAGTTCTATGTGATACAGCCATATGATACTTAGACCATATATTATGACAGTTCTATGTGATACAGCCATATGATACTTAGCCCATATATCATGACAGTTCTATGTGATACAGCCATATGATGCTTGTCCCATATATCATGACAGTCCTATGTGATACAGCCATATGATACTTCGCCCATATATCATGACAGTCCTATGTGATACAGCCATATGATACTTCGCCCATATATCATGACAGTCATATGTGATACAGCCATATGATACTTCGCCCATATATCATTACAGTTCTATGTGATACAGCCATATGATACTTTGCCCATATATCATGACAGTTCTATGTGATACAGCCATATGATG